GAGTTTACCCGATTTGTGATAAACTTTTTAAGCGGAAATTAATAAATGATAAATTTATGTCATTAAAGAAATTAGATAAAGAACGTTTTATAATAAGAAAGTAGTAGACCTAATTAATTGGTGCAGTCGGTAGGATTTACACAAGTATTTTGTGACATTTCCTCCACAATTTGTAGCGTTAATTTACAAATTTCGACGACAAAAACACACAAAAGCTTGTTTTTTCGTATATTCCCATGAATCAACCCGAAAATATTTCACCAATTAATTAATAAATTGTGTAAAGTCGCGGAAGACATACATCATGTCTTCTAACCACTACCTACGATTACCAACTCGGCTAAGGTAATGATAGCGTGTGGAAAAACTTGTCGATATATGCTATTTCATCGATATAAATGACCCCTATATCTGTCAAATACACACTGAACATAATGGCAAACATTAATTTTTTAAATAAATTTATTATACGTTTTGTGAGTGTTTATTTCTTCGAGTAGCCGCCACATCTCGACAAGCAATCATCAACAACGTTGTTATTACGTCTGAGAGAGAGACTAATAAAGTTGCTGGCGGCGTTGGCGATTGGAAAAATCCGATTGTCTTGTCACGGGCGTAACAAAGAAGCCACATCTCTAAATCAATTAAAAAAAACGTAGTTTTTCGATCCGGAAAGAGTAAAGAGCGACTTCCCGTGGCGCCCGGCCCCATGGAGGCCAACTTCACGGCTATAGTCGCGAACGTGTCGGTGAAGAATGAAAATGGGCATTCGTTCCGACCATTAGTGATGTGTGAGGGCCCCGTTGAAGAGAGAAACTTCTCTCTTCTCTCCCGTGGTAAATAATGACGGCCACTCTTGTGCTTGCTGGCTTTTTAATTCTTTTTGTGTAGCTGTGCGTGTCTTGCTAGCGACGACCAGGCGCCAACTTTTCATTATACTGTTGATTAAAGCGGCCGTGTTTGAGACCCCCATTTCGCGCGGGGGCTCCGACTCTCTTACGTCACACGAGGACAATTAAGGCATATGATGCCTAATTAGAAACCAAAGAGATTGAGTTACACGAGGGTAATTGGGGACAACTGACCACCGCGATCAAATTACGTGTCAATGGGGCTCGCGGCGTTGCCGCGCGCCCCCGTGTCAATAAAAATAATAATAATAATTTATTGATCCAACAGAATGTACAGGGTGCTGCATTTTGGATGTCCGAATAGGGAATCTCCGAAAGTAAGAGGTTTAGCTAAAAACGAGTAATACATTCTCATTTTTTTGAGAAAATAATATTGTTTAAAACCGCATCCCGCTATCGTCTTTTGTGTTCGACTTACAGACAAAAGTTGACATTTTGACGAAATCTAAAAAAAAATATGTCTTCGTTATTATAGAAGATACGGATTTGAAATAAAGACATTATACAGGCACTTTTTTACGAGGAATTTAATAATGTAGTTAACAATTTTTTTCAGTTATTGGTTTAGCCGTAATAAGATAAACTTGTATTTTTTTAAATGGAAATCATAGGCGGTTATGACAATTTTGAAAAGCTTATTTTTTTCTGATCTAAAAAATATATTTTTTATAATTATACTTAGAAAATTAAATACATATTTTGTTTGATAATAGTTGGCCATGGAAAAACTATTTCACTCCAAATGTGTAAATAATAATCAATAAGAGTTTTGTGAACTGTAAAATAGATGAAAAAAAGTAGATAAAAATTTAAAAAATACGATACCGTAGAACTATTGATCAAATATAAGAGTGCCTCAGAACAAAATTATTACATATTTTTAAAAAATCAAAAAATAGGAAAAACAAATGTGTCAACAGTCAACACAATTACAAAAAACATTTTTTTGATGATCTAATGGTAGTAGGATAACGTTTCACATAGACGGAATTTGGGTATTTGAGTAGCCATATCGTCATTTTTGTGTCATATAAAATATATTTTATTGAAGAATTAAAGCGTTTTTTTTTTGCAACACTCTATGTATCACTAGAAGTTGCAATGGTAATGTTAGCTTGTTTAAAAACAAAGAAATGTTATTAGTCGCCAATAAGTTGATTTACGATTTATTTTGCATTTTTTTCATTACTTAGTACTTAGAAAACTCTTTCATTACTGACATTGGTTGAATAATATAGTTTAAATCTTTTTAGTTGAAGATGCAACATTTTTTCATGGCCAACTGCGAACACAAATCAAAGATAATTTTTTGCTAAAAATGTATTATAATAATTTGTTACAAATATATATTTTTTAGATAAGAAAAGAAACAATCTTTTTAAAAATGACATAGCCATCTATGATTCCCATTTAAAAAAATACAAGTTTATTTTATTACGGCTAAACAAACAACTGAAAAAAATTGTTAACTACATTATTAAATTCTACGTAAAAAAGTGCCTCTATAATGTCTTTATTTCAAATCTGTGTCTTCTATAATAACGAAGATATGAATTTTTTAGATTTCGCTAAAATGTCAATTTTTGTCTATAAGTCGAAAACAAAAGACGGTAGCGGGGATGCGGTTTTAACCAATATTATTTTCTCAAAAAATGAGCCCCAGAATGTATTACTCGTTTTTAGCTAAACCTCTTAGTTTCGGAGATTCCTTATTCGGACATCCAAAGTGCAGCACCCTGTACATTCCAATTACAGGATCAAAATAAGAAGAAAAGGACATAAAATACATATCACTACCTACAAAAAAAAAAAACAAACAATACAAAAGAGCAAAATTTCTAGCATTATTCAGGCGGTCTATYTAATATAGTCTTAATTTTATTAACAAAAACATTTAAAGACATATTAAATACATCAACATGTTTGTGTAACAAATTATAATTTGAGCACATTAACAACAGAAAAGAATGCATATGTTGCCTTGAATGCGAAAAAGGATTATTGAAACATACCGAAATTTTACTGTTTACACGTTGGACATTAAAACACAAACACGAGAGCAAGAAAGAACAGTTAATGACATTATTAACGAGCTTGTACAAAAACATACAGCTGATTACTTTTAAAACCCCTGAAAGAATTCAAAGATCAGTTGTCGAAATTTTTAATTACGAGTGTCTGAAACAAATTTAATTTTTAATTTTTTTCCTCTTTATGGTCTGTAAGACAAATTGTAAACTGATTTTACTCGAAAACTGTAAGTTGTATCGAAAAAACGCAAGAGACCTCTTTTTTGTGAAAAACTATGAAATTTAGAATTTTGTGGCTGAAAGTGGCTAAAACCACCCGCCAAAATAGTTAGGGAACTTTTTACCCTAAACCCCCTCGTTTAATAAAAATTTGAATAAAAATTTCGACATTTTATCTTTGAATTTGTTTGGATGTATAAAGGTTATCAGTTGTACCAAATTTTGTAATTTTATCCACGATGGTTTCTGAAATATTGGAAAATCTCCATTAAAAGTTGCACCCCTTTCAGGAGATGTAGCTCCCTTATATAAAATTTTTCGATATTAAAATTGAATATTCTATCACCTGGTTAAATTTGTAACAATAAAAATGGAACACCCTGTATATATTTTACAAGATTAAATTTTTCCAATACTGCCAAAAGTTTACGTTTAAAACATACTTACATGCATGAAAAAAGCAAAAATCTACTATTTTTGTTCTAATTCTGCAATTTTTTGCAAAATCTTTACGTTTTTACCTGAAAAACTTGAAAAATACAGAAATAATGACTTAATTTTGTGTTTTTGTTGGTTTGTTTTAGCAAAATCTTGCAAAAATTGAGTAGTTCAAAAACGTGCTTAAAGATTTGAAAAAGAAACAAATTTTTTGTTTTTCGGCTCATTTTTTGTTAAAAATTTACTTAAAATGATCTAAATTGAAAAAAACAAACAAAATATTTTTGTAATTTTCATGCATCATATTTTGACAAGATTTTACAGTTTTGACAAAATTTTTCAAAAAAATTGCGAATTTATTTCGAAAACGTGCTTATTCACTCTAAAAATGCAAAAATAACACAATTTTGGACTTAATTTGGTAAATTTTCGTTTTGTTATTAACTAAATTTTGCAAAATGGTTCCATTTCTGGCTAAAAATCGTACTAAAACAATTCGAAAATGACCAAAATAAGATGCTTATTGACTCAATTTAGTGATTTTTTGACTCTATTGGGTGACATCTCGTAAACAAATAAATAATAAATAAGTTTATTTTCTTAACTAATTTGGTGATTTTTTGTCTTACTTTGAGAAAGTTTGGCAAAATGATTGATAAATAAAGAACTTGAGAAATGCTTAAATAATGCCAAAAATATAGTGTGATTTGTTTTAAAATATTTTTTTGTATCATTAATTAAAAAAACGAATATTTCTCCTTGACTTCTGAAATTAAGGTGAAAAAGCTTAGGTACTTTCTGTTAGGGTAACAATAAAAAAACAATAAAAATGGAAAAAATCCTGTATTATTAGAATTTATTTTCTTTTTTCCAATTCCCTTTTGTTTTTGATTATTAAATTGCCTTATTATTCTCCACATATTACATAATTTTTAAGAAAACAATATTTTTTTTTATACTGTTTCACTAATTTTTTGAGATTTTGGTCCAAAATAAGATTCTGAAATATTATAAAAAGTCCAGAATTGCTTTAAATTTATTCTTTCCAGTCTATTACATTATATTTTTTCTTATTTTCCAAGTACATTTAAACTTGTGTTTTTTTCGTGACAAAATTGGGCCAAAATAAGACAATAAATTTTTTTCTTCAAGTGTGTTATTTCCTAAAAATTAATTTTTTTTACACTAAAAAAATTAAAAAATTGGAGATATTTTAATCACACAAAGAAAAATAATGTAAAATTGCGATATTTGTATCGAAATAAGTCAAAATAAGAAAGAAATTGTCTTCAAAGTGCTCCATTTTCGTTTATTGTAGACATTTTTCCATCGAGAAACTAAATAAATTTTTACTATATTGTAATAATATAAAGCTTTCAATTGACATTTTTTTTCCTTTCAGGAGCACCCCAGCCTCCGTGGCACCCCTCTGGCGATGCTCGCCGCCCAATGCAACAAACTCTCCAACAAATCGCCGCCTCCTTTAGCGGACGCCGCCGTCGGAAAGGGCTTCCATCCGTGGAAAAAGAGTCCACAAGGTGCCCCATCGCCCTCTTCAACACCCAGTTCACTCCCAACTCAACGCACCTCCTCCACCTCCTCCAACCCCACCTATTCGAGTCGATCGGTGATGACGTCGTGTTCCAGCGTCCCGACGACGGCATCCTACGGCAGCGATTTGTACTTTCCCGGTGCTACATCCCAACCTCCCACTGACAATTCCCACGTCCACCACCATCAGACTTCGCTTCTGGGCAAAGTCGAAGGTGCGGCGACCCATCATCTGGGTTCGGTTTACTCGCGACATCCGTACGAGTCGTGGCCTTTCAATACCATGTCGGGGGCCACCCATCATGGGACGATCAAGAGCGATTCGGTCGCGTCGAATGCCTGGTGGGATGTGCATTCGACGGGGAGTTGGCTGGATATGAGTGGAGGGATGCACCAAATGGCCAACTACTCCACGGATTATTCGAGTTTGACACACTCCTTGGCCGCTTCCAACCATCTGTTGTCTTCAGGACAACACCTCCTCCAGGATACGTACAAAAGTATGCTTCCTGGGGCGCAATCAGTTGGGGCCTCGTTCGGATTACATGCCACTGGGTCGGCACCATCTCCAACAGCTGGGGCTGGAGGACTGCCCCCACAAGTGCCCAGTCCGAGGTCACAAAGACGTTACACGGGTCGAGCCACCTGCGATTGTCCCAATTGCCAAGAAGCCGAACGTTTGGGACCTGCAGGTGTCCATTTGCGAAAGAAAAACATCCACAGTTGTCACATTCCCGGCTGTGGTAAAGTTTACGGAAAAACGTCCCATTTAAAAGCCCATTTGAGGTGGCATACGGGTGAAAGACCTTTCGTTTGCAATTGGTTGTTTTGTGGTAAACGATTCACCCGTTCTGATGAATTACAAAGACACTTGAGGACCCATACGGGTGAAAAACGCTTCGCTTGTCCCATTTGCAATAAGCGATTTATGCGTTCGGACCATTTGGCCAAACACGTCAAGACCCATAATGGTAATGGGAAGAAGGGAAGTTCGGATTCTTGCAGCGATTCCGAGGAGAATAGTCAAAGTGATATCACAAATAATGTGAATTCCCCTGCATCTATGAACCAAACGCCGCCACCGACGGCCCAAATGGGGCTCGATATGGTGACGGGACTCGATGTGAAGCCCCCCGGTTTGGTTTGAGGCCGGTGGGGCCCTACGCTACTCTATCCAGGCTATCATCGCTAGCGTGAGGCCCCCATGTGATAAGGACTTGTTTCCCAATTGTATATAATGTGAATGGACGCTTTAGTTATCGTTTTGCTAATGGATTTATTGTATATAATATAAATATTTAAATATTTTACATGTTTAAGTGTCGGCAAGGTGAATGAGAAACGTGTCAGTGTTTTCACATATCAGAAACGCTTTGTGGTCACTTTATAGGAGCTGAGGTGCGAATTTAAACGTTTTTATCATGTTTCTCTTTCCGCCAAAGAAGCTGTAATCCTTTGTAAATTTTATTGTAACTATATCTGTAAATTATTCTATAAGAGCTTTTGTGAACACGTTGACAGTGAATATAATTTTCAATCTAAAATTTTCTTTTATTTTTTCACTAAAAAAAAATCTCGAGCTGGTACAACAAGAGGTAAGTGACTTGAAATCAATTAAATATGCAATACAATAATTACGAAAATTAATTCAGTTACTTTCTTATCGGTTCGTAGAATTGCAATTACACATAAAATATGCAAGTGAATTGTTAATGCCGAGTTAATGTAGCTCGTAAAATGCAATTATCTTTGAATGAGACCCTTTAAAGGTTAAAACAAACACATTACTGATGCACTTTTTATGCTTACGTAAACAAAAATTAGTTTCATCAATTAAATGCGTCATAGTTTTATCGACAATTTCCCTCTTTTCAAATTATTTGATACACTTTTCGTTTTTTGCAAGTGGTGTTAGACAATGACACACTATACAAATTTTTCTTAGACAAACAAAGAAAAAACATAACAGACATATTATTTGAAACAGATTTATGATTTCGTAATGATTTTACTTTTTTTTTCATATTAAACATCAAATATTAAAATACAATAAAATAAAAGTAAGTTTTACAAGAATATTTTTTCATAAATCTACTGTACCAAAAAATACTAATTTTTATCAGTTAAAATATGTACAAATAATTTTTTTGTTATTTCATATTTCTGGATATAAATTAAAAAACAAAACAATTTAAAATTTTACTTAATATATGATTTTTGGTTCGTTTTCAATCTCAAAACAACTATTGTAAGACAATGATGCAGCATAGAGATTTTCATTTTTTTTTAATATTCCCCCACAAGTAAATATTTAAAAAAATTATTATTATTTTATATTTTAATTTTAATTTTAATTTTAAAAATTGAAATCCAAAATAAAACACTTCAGTTTTCCGAGAATAATTTTTAAATTATGCTTTTTGTTAAAGGCATTATATGATTTTATTTTACAGTTTCGTAAACTTAAAAAAAGTTATGTAATTGATTAAAATTTAGCCTAATTTGTGGTTTTTGTTAGACAATGACACAACATACAAATTTTTATTACGCAAACAAAGAGAAAAAGTAGCAGATCTTTATAATATTAGTTAACATTTGAGATTGATACGATATGCATGTTATTTAAGAAATATTTAAAAATATTTTTATTGAATTGAAAAAATATACTTTAATTTAAAATAGAATAAGGGCCAGTTGCATAATCGAATTTAGAGCAGCATTGTTTAGAATGTGCTGATTACTACAGACTTGTTGACCAAAATTACACATTCTAAATCAACATTAACTTTAATTTGATTATGACACCGGCCCTAAGTTTTCAATAAGAAAAAACATAACAGACATATTATTTGAAAAAGATTTATGATTTTGTAATGATTTTATTTTTGTTTTCATATTAAACATCAAAAATTAAAAGACAACAAAATAAAAGTGAGTTTTGCAAGAATATTT